TGTATAAGAACAAGACAAAATACAATCATCGATTAAATACAAATAAAACACCACCTGAAGAACAAGACGAAGTGACACAAACAAATGAGAAACAAACAAACAAACAACCAGAGCCAGAAAATCTTCTTATGAATAAATGACATTGGATATATCCTAATAGCGAATTCAAAAGAATGATATTTAGGCACTCTCAATGGTTTGAGAGAAATCTAAATAAAATCAAGGGGGGAAAAAACTTTAGAATTCCAGAAATACTACAAGAATTGACTAAATAAAATTTAAAATTCCAATCAACAGCAGTAAACAATAATCCAGGAGGTTAATACTGAAATTTCCAAAGTAGATAATACACTGAAGGAGAACAGGAGCAGAACTGCTTCAATTGAAGTAGTGAGCTTGAAGACGATCGCTCAATACTTTCTGGTAGAGAAACAATCAGAGAAAAGAAGGAAAAGGTCCTAGGAAAGCCTAAGAATTAGGTGACACAGCATCAATAGCAACTACTTACATGTGATCAGAGTTTCAGAAAGAGACAAACACAAAAAATATTATCGAAGAGTTGATGGAAGAAAACTTCACTACTATCAAGACACCAACGTAGATATAAGTATACAAAGTAAAACAGGCCTACACTTAAAACAGGCAATCAAAGAGATAAATACATAATACAGACTGCAAAATAAAGGAGGGAACACTATAGTTACAGGACTACCAAATAGAAAGGAAATCTAGTTAATTTCTAGACTGTAGGTGAAGGGGAAGGCAATATACAAGAAGGTAGACATGGGCAAAAAATGATAGAGGTAAGGGAAGACAATGGAAGAAATGTAAGAGTTAAAAGCAACTGAGATAAACACCAATAAACACATAATCCTACAATAATGGTAAAATAAAAGTAGATATACATATAGAAATCCAGGGTAAGAAGGAAGTGTGGAAGTATAACTACAAATATATTTTAGGTTTGATATGCAATTTGTACATGAGCATTTACGCTTTCTGCAAATATATCCACAAAGGTGTTTGAGCACTGTTAAGTGCTGTCAAGTTGGCCCAATTCATAGCAACTCCACGTACAACAGAACAAAACATTGTCCATTCCTGTGTCATCTTCAAAATTGTTACATTTGAGCCCACTGTTGAAGGTATTGTGTCAATCCACCTCTTTTTTAATGTCTCCCTACTAAGTATGATGCTCTTTTGATAATATGCCCAAAGTATGTGAGATCAAGACTCATCATTCTCACTTCTAAGGAGCATTCGAGCTATACTTCTTCCAAGAAAGGTTTGCTTGTTCTGGCAATCCTCAATCCTCTCAATATTTTTTGCCAACACCATAATTCAATGGCAACAATTCTTCTGAGGTCTTCCTTATTCACTGTCTAGCTAGCATGTGCACGCAAGGTGATTAAAGGTACCATGGCTTGGGTCAGGCATACCTCAGTCCTCAAAATGACATCCTTGCTCTTCAACACTTTATAGAGGTTATGTGCAGCAAATTTGCCCAATGCAATACTGTTTGGTTTTTGATTGCTGTTTCCATGAGCACTAATTGTGAACCCAAGTAAAATGAAATCCTTGACTTTAATCTTTTCTTGGTTTATCATGATGTTGTCTATTGGTCCAGTTGTACGGATTTGAGTTTTCTGTACATTAAGTTGAAAACCATATTGAAGGCTATAGTCTAGTAAGCGCTTCAAGTTCTGGTTTTCAGCAAGCCAAATTGTGTCTATCATTATTAGTAAACTTTCTAAACCTGATGCTGCATTCTTCTTCTGTAGCCCAGCTGCTCAGATTATCTGCTCAGAGGATACAACCTTGACACATACATTTTCTATTTAAAACTATTCAGTATCCACTTCTGCCTTTTAGTTTACATATAGGTTACACATGAGTGCAATTAAGTATTCTGGTATTCCCATTCTTCTCAATGTTATTAATGCCTGTTGTGATCCACACAGTTGAATGCCTTTGCATAGTCAATAAAACAAGTAAACATCTTAATGGTTCTATGGTTGTACATACAGAGGATCATGTATGAAAGTTTCTTAGATATAACCAAACACTTTAAGTGAATAGGTTGCTGGGCTCAGGCTCAGGACCGTAGTCTTGGAGGCACATGGATCAACTGGAGTAACATAGTCCACAAGGATTATGTTCAATATCTTACTTTGGTGGGTAGCAAATCTTGTAAGCAACCATATAAGATGCAACTATTGGTCTATCTCTGCCCACAGAAAGAAGAAAAGTGTTGAACCACTTATAAGAGGCATCTTATAAGACTTAAAACAGTGACAACAAAAAAGAATCTATATACAAGTTTATTAGTGCCAGCTTCGGGCCTCCTCGGGGCCCACAGCCTCTTGGCCCACATGTTCTCAGCCTCTAGGGTTTTGGGGCTTCTGGTACCTAGATCACCCTCCAAGATCCCCGCGCGCGCATGGGTGTTCTTTTCAATGTAGTTGTTTGGACCCATTTGTGAACCCCTTTGAGACTGGAAAACTTGAAGTAAAAACCCACTTGGATTACAAAACGAGCTTCGGGGTAAATTCTTTCATCATGCAAATACCAAGAACCGAGGGATTACCCACTTAAGAAACCTTACAGTGCTACTGGTTAAAAACTGGTTAAAAACTGAAAGCAGTTCAAACTCACCAGCTGCTCTGTGGAAGAAAGATGAAGTTGTCTACTCCTCTAAAGATGGAAAACTGGAGGCAATTATTTTGTCATGGAAAATATACATGAAATGAATTAAGAAATAAATTTACCTGTATAGTTTAGAGAAGCTTTATCTGCAATAGCCAAAAAAATCCTTGTAACAGATAAACAAGCAGGCATCTAGCTCAGAAGCATCAAAGCCCACATGAAAGAAGCACTCCAGCCTGTGTAACCACGAGGTGTAGAAGGGACCAGGTATCAGACATCAAAGAACAAAAAATCATATCAGTAGGTGCCTACCTTCCTGATATGATCACTGAAGACAAACGTGTACATAAGCAAATGTGGTGAAGAAAGCTGATGGTACCCGGCTATCAAAAGATAGAGCATCTGGGGTCTTAAAGGCTTGAAGATAATAAGCGGCCATCTAGCTCAGAAGCAACAAAGCTCACAGGGAAGAAGCACACCAGCCTGTGTGACCACGAGGTGTCAAAGGGATCAGGTATCAAGCATCAAGGAACAAAAAAATCCTATCATTGTAAATGAGGGTGAGTGCAGAGTGGAGACTCAAAGCCCATTGGTAGGCAACTGGACACCCCCTTACTGAAGGGTTGTGGGGAGGAGTTGAGGCAGTCAGGATGCAGGGTAGCAACGATGAAACATATAACTTTCCTCTAGTTCTTAAATGTTCAACCCCCCCGCCCCCCCCATCATGATCCAAATTCTATCTTACAAATCTGGCTAGACCAGAGGATGTACATTGGTACAGATAGCAACTGGAAACACAGGGAATTCAGGACGGATGACCCCTTCAGGACCAGCGGTGAGAGTGGCGATGCCTGGAGGGTGGAGGGAATGTGGGGTGGAAAGGGGAAACCGATGACAAGAATCTACGTATAACCTCCTCCCTGGGGGATGGACAACAGAGAAGTGGGTGAGGGGAGACATTGGACAGTAAGTATAACATATGACAAAATAATAATAATGTATGAATTATGAAGGGTTCATGAAGGAGGGGGGAGGAGTGGGGAAGGAGGGGGAAAATGAGGAGCCGATATTAAGGGCTCAAGTAGAAGGCAAATGTTTTGAGAATGATGATGGCAACAAATATACTAATGTGCTCGACACAATGGATGTATGTATGGATTGTGATAAGAATTGTATGAGCCCCCAATAAAGTGATTAAAAAAAACCCAAACCTGTTAACAACCCAAAAATCGAGCAAAAGGTAAATAAATGGTCTATTCACACAACAAAATAATACTTCACTAAAACAAAGGGGCACATTACTGATATATGTAGTAACTTGGATTAACTCAAAGCAATCATGTTGCGTGGAAGAAACTGCAGGTTTAAAAAAATATGTATTAAATGATCCCATGTATATAACATTTTACAAAATACGAACTAATAGTGTGCCTGGGAACTGGAGACCAAAGAGGAAGGTAGGGAGGAGTCACAAAGGAACATGACGAAGCTTCACGATGATGGCACATTCATTATCTTAGTCATGATATGGATGCGTCAAAAGTAATCAGTTACCCTTTACATATTTGCAATTCATTGTACACTAATAATACTGCCATAAAACTGAGAATTGCCAATATTCCTTCTACAGTTCACCAGTATAACCTGACATTACCTAACGAAAATCATGAATACTCAGGTTTTAAGACAAAGTAACATGTGAATTATCCTTTTTTAATTTATAAACATTCAAAAAGAAAGACAAAACAAATCTAGGGAATGTGGTGAATGCAAATTTACAAAGAATTTATGAAGAAAGGCTAGCCTAAATAGAAATACGTGAGACTGTTTCCCCAAACAAGGGTTTAACAGGATGAACTCTAAGAGTGCCAAAAAAACAACAAAACTTAAGGAAGGAGATTAGGCTAAATTTTACATTAAGACCTATATATACCCATTCATAAAAGTTAAATGATCCTGTGCCAAAAAATAAAAAAAAGGACAGCAATAGGTTTCTTGGTTTATTTTTAACCTTAACCTTACCCCCAGGACAGTTAAATCAACACAAATAAGCTTCATTCCGGACCCTCTCTGAGACAAAACAATTAGAATTTTCAATATCAGCACCCAGTATGTTCCACTTCTTAATGTGGAGGAAATATACTATTTTCTCCAAAATAAGGTAAAACGTGCAGCGCCCTATTGTTCTGTTTGATCCCAAGACCTACCTGATGCAAACTTAATTAATTTACAATATCAAGAACTAACATAAGAGTGAAACAATCAATGGAGAGTATCGGAAATAAGAATCTGTATGAGCTTCCTGCGTGACAATTACACTGTGGGAGAAAAAAGGTATTATTTTGTTGACTCACCAGTTGTACTTTTGTTCCAAGGAAGTTCCACCATAAGTTCCAAATAATTTCTAGTCAGAGCATATTCTGGCATGGATTGAGGCATCTTTTTGAGTCTGGGGGGGAGGGGGCGGAGGGGATGTATAGCATACATGTTCAACAACATAGACTTCCACAGTAACAGAAAACTCATGTGCATTTCCTTTTCTTGGCCAGATGTAGCATATACATTTGATTAACTAAATATGAAAATATAAACAAAAAAACTAAAAAACAATAAAAAAATTATGTTTGCTTTGTAATATATTTATTTAAAACAAACAAAATTGCAAAGTAGAGAGAAAAAACATTTTATCTTATACTATCTTTGAAATATGATACTGAGATCACAGGAATCTCAAGTCACATGTATTCACTGAATTAAGCCTCACAATAAAATGCAAGAATCAAAAAAAACCCAACGAACTAAAATAAATAAATAAAATGTAAGAACCTACCCACATATAACACGACAAAAATTAATTATGTTTTTGGACTCAAATAGGTCAATTCATAAAAGTGTGCTAACACTAGGTGACTAATACAAAATGCAATTTTTGAAACATATCAAGTGTTTAACAGAATGCTCCAGACGTGACTGATGTTCTACATTTATAACTGTTGATAGACAATTCTTCTTAACTACATTTACTAATGTCCTTAATTGTAAGCTTCAGAAATTGAAATATTTTAGTTATTAAGCATTCAATTAAGGACACTATAATTCATGATAAAGGAAATTATAGGTACAGGTTATGACTGGTACTGAATAAACACTTTTTAACTGATGTTAAAAAACACAGGTATATAAAATTATTAGATCTTCTTCCTTGGATTTAATCATCAATTAACCAAAACCCAAATGAAATCCAGTCCTAATGAGTAGAATCTGACTCGCAGTAACTCTAAAGGAAAAATGGAACTATTTCTTTTTCGTTGTTGCTTTTTAACTAAAAGATCATTTATTGGGGGCTCTTTTAACTCTTACAACAATCCATATATGAATTATATCAGGCATATTTGTACATATGTTGCCATCAATCTTTTCTAGACATTTACTTTCTTTTTTTAATTAAAAGATCATTTTATTGGGGACTCTTACAACTTTTGTTACAAATCATACATTGCTTGCATCAGGTGAATTTGTACATATGTTGTCTTCATTCTTTTCTAGACATTTACTTTCTATTGGTATCAGCGGTTTTTCCCCCTTCCCTCCCTCCCACTCTTATATCCTTGATAGATTATAAATTATTATTTTCATATCTCACACTAACTGCTGTCTCCCTTCCCCCATGTTTCCTGCTGTTCTTCCCCCTGGAGAGGGGTGTATGGTTATGTGTCCATCATTACGATCGGTTCCCCCTTTCTTCCTTCTATTCACGCTCTTCTCCCTCCCCTTCTGGTATCGCTATTCTCACTCCTGTTCTGGATTCTGTGTGTTGTGAGCTCTTTTAGCTATATCTGTGTACATGTTCAGGTCTAGTCTCAATTAAGAAGCAGCTGGGGTCATGGTAGTGTGGGGTGGGTGAGGAAACCTCAAGTGTTCATCGATGCTTTACTGCATCGTGGTTGACTCATCCCTTCCCTGTGGCCCCTCTGCGGGGGGACTGGAACTATTTCTTAGGGCTTCTGAGACCATAATTCTTTATGGGAGCAATTAGCCACATCTATCTCTCATGAAACAATTGGGGGGTTTGAACTGTCAACTTTTCAGATAGCAGTTCAGCACTTGACCCACTACACTATTAGGAATTCTTTAATTATCAGTGGATGAAAATTTAAATTACCTAGAACAGGGGTGCTTAATACGTCAATCTACTAGTAAATCGCAAATGTAGTGTGGATAGATAGCATGACATTAAAAAAATAGGCATAAGCCTATCATCAATCCCATCACTTAACTGATATACAGCACGGCCAATCAGATGCAACCTTAGGTGTCAAACGCATCCTGCAAACAACTGTGCTAACTGCAGCAAACTGACAAGCTAAATCATCGCCAATTTTTAGTTTCTCTTAGACATAAGAAAGGGTATTAAAATGAGTGGAGGAGCTGGACCAAGTAAGAAGGCAAAAGACTATCACTTTCATCCAAAATGGGAGATTTTGACATTACAACCAGACATTCAGCTGAAGTCCAGAGCACATGAACAGTTCTGGAACTTACTCGCAGAGGGAAAGTACCCAAACATGAGAAAATGTGCTACCTCCTTGACTGCATTACTCAGCTCTACTTATTTATGTGAGTCAGCTTTTCCCCACATAAAGATCATTGGCACCGAGGGCGTGCAATGGAGCAGCGGGGGAAGCAGAGCAAGGAGGTCCCGAGGGAGTACAAAGGATGGACTTTGGGGACAGGACGTGGCACCCCATCAGACTCGTCTGGAAAACCCTCCTAAAGGTCAACAAACAGACCTTGAACTACTAACAGGCCTCCACCCCCCCCCCCTTTTCTGCCTATTTGTTTTCTTTTTTTCTCTTCTTCTAAATTTTGTATGTCAGTGGCTTATTTGTTAGCTTGTCGGTGCTGCTGCCGTCATCGCCATGTTCTTATGTGCCACTTTGGTGCTGTCAAAGCCATCCCCAATTTTATGCTCATATTAATATATCTGCAGGTCCACCTAGATAAGAGAGGCTGGACAAACAATGTGAGAAGAAAATAAAGGGACCAACGGTCCTGGAGGGACATGAGAGTGTGGGAAGTAGGGGAAGGGAGGAGGTGTTGGCCAACCCAAGGATAAGGGAACAATGAGTGGTTCAAGACCAGTGGCAGGGGGGGGGGATGGGAGGACTGGTAGGGAGCGACCAAGGGCAAGGTAACTGAGAGGAATTACTGAAACCAGAATGAAGGCTGGACATGGTAGTGGGACAGGAGGAAAGCGTAAGGAAATAGAGGAAAGGAGTAGGAGGCAAAGGGCATGCACAGAAGCCTAAATACAGACATGTACATATGTAAATATATTTAAGATTATGGGGGAAATAGACCTATGTGCATATATTTATAGGTTTAGTAGTAGGTTAGCAGATGGGCATTGGGCCTCCTCGGTACGCATTCCCTTAATACAAGAGCACCTTGCTCAGCTAATTGGTCATTTCTTGATACCCACCTTCCCGACAGGATCGCTGAAGACAGACGTGTGCATAAGCAAATGTGGTGAAGAAAGCTGATGGTGCCCGGCTATCAAAAGATATAGCGTCTGGGGTCTTAAAGGCTTGTAGGCAAACAAGCTGCCATCTAGCTCGGAAGTAGCAAAGCCCACAGAGAAGAAGCACACAAGCCTGTGTGAACACGAGGTGTTGAAGGAGCCAGGTAGCAGAAACCAAAGAACAAAAACCATCATTGTGTGATCACCTTCCCCACATAAACGCTGAAGACAAATGTGTGCATAAGTAAGTGTGGTGAAGAAGGCTGATGGTGCCTGGCTATCGAGACCTATAGCGTCTGGGGACTTAAAGGCTTGAAATTAAACAGGCAGCCATTTAGCCCAGGGACAACGAAGCCCACATGGAGGCAGCATAGCAACATATGTGATCATGAAGAGCCGAGGGGACCAGGTTTCAAGCACCCAAGGTGGGAGGGGGGAGGGGGGATCATATCATTGTGAATGAGGGGAGCACGTGATGGGGACCCAATGCCCATCTGTAGACAACTGGACATCCCTTGCAGAGGAGTAGTGGGAGGAGATGAGTCACTCAGGGTTCAGTGTAGCGATAATGAAGCTCACAACCTTCCTCTAGTTCTTAAACGCTTCCTCCCCCAACTGTCATGAACCCAATTCTACCTTGCAAACCTGGTTAGACCAGAGGATGCACAGCGGTACAGGTGGGAACTGGAAACGCGGGGAATCTAGGACAGATGAATCCCTCAGGACCAGCGGTGAGAGTGGCGATACCAGGTGGGAGTGGGGGTAGAAGGGGGAATCGATCACAAGGATCTACATATAACCTCCTCTCTGGGGGATGGGCAACAGAAGGGTGGGTAAAGGGAGATGCTGGGCAGCATAAGATAAGTTAAAATAATAATTTATAAATTATTAAGGGTTCATGAGGGAGGGGGGAGCAGGAAGGGATGGTGAGGGGAAAAAGGAAAATGAGGAGCTGATTCCAGGAACCCAAGCAGAAAGCGAATTTTGAGAATGATGAGGGCAACAAATGTATAAGTGTGCTTTACACAATTGATGCATGTGTGGATTGTGTTAAGAGTTGTATGAGTCCCAATAAAATGATTAAAAAAAAAAAGTCCAAGTACTGTTCCACCATGACTGATGATCATTTGGAAGTATGCTTGAGGCTGGCTGTCAGCAGCTACTGTCCGGACTATGCATCCCTGGCTCATTCCATTCAGTGCAAGTCATCAGAGTAAACTCAGGTAATGACAAAAAGTGTACATAGTTAATTGTGTTGTCTTGTGCAATATGGACTCATGTGGTTATGCAAGGTACATAAACATACATTGTACATATGAGGAATTCTAAATGAATTTATGAATAAATGTAATAAATAAATAAAAATAAATATATGTTTTGCATTTTTGTAGTTGGTAGATCATTTTGACTTGATCATTTTATAAGTAGCTCGCTTGCTGAAAAAGTATGAGCAACCCGGACCCAGAAAAACACTCTTCCCAAATTAAACTTGGACTAATAGCAAAAGAAACAGACAAAGTCATCAAGAAACTCCCAACTAAAAAAAGCCGAGGACTGGATGGCATCACAGGAGAATTCTGACAAATATTCAGAGAACAGCTGACACCAAATCTACACAAACTATAGAAAGCACAGCAAACTCCTAAACTCATTCTACAAAGACAGCATAACCCTGATACCAAAAAACAGGTGAAGAACCTACAAAGATAGAAAACTTCAGAGCAATATCCCTCAAGAACATAGATGCTAAAATTCTCAACAAAATCTTAGCCAATAGAATTCAACAAAATATCAAAACGTATATCAAATCATGACCAAGTGGGATTCATAACAGGGATGCAAAGGTTAAATATTTGAAAACAATTCATGTAATCTACCACATAGACAAGAATCATATGATCATATCAACTGATGCACGCATTCCTAAA